TGAACGTTGACCCATATTGAATAATAAAACACGTTTTGAATTTAACAACACGTCAATTAAAAACAATACATGATAATTGTAAAAAAAAACTACCGCCGAACAATTTTCTCGCCGCCATTGCAATAATTATCATGGGACACACGTTCAAAGAGGTTTAAAATAACCGAGATCAAAAGAGAAGGACAGAAAGAGATGGGTATATGTAGCGTAAGCGCAAGAGCAGTACCAATTTCGTTTGGTAGTGGAACATGTAGATGACATGGATCACTTCACAAAAAAATTGCAATTTTGCAAAAACTGTAGGAAAGGGAAATAAACCACTAAGACCTTTTTTTTACAATGTTTTTAGTGAATTCTATTCATAGTACTCATTTCTTAATAAAATTTTACTTACGTGTGGCAAATAACTAAATGATAAATATGAATAAGGATGGAATAAGGCATGGATACCTTTGCCACGTTATTTCATACCTTGACCCCCTTGACCTTTGAATTAACAATATTTTGTAAACTAACATTTTAAAATAAATAATGCATTTTAAATATCAAAATATAGTTCAAATATAGGTTTTTACCATCTCGTATGCAATGACATCATTATCTTATCAGATTCTCACTGGAAAATAGTGACTAAATGCCCACTCATTAGAAGTAAGGCTTCAGATTAAATTCCTTTTTCATTCATATACCTTTAAATGAAATAACTTATCAAGACTTTTTCCACATCATAGTACTCATTTCTTCTTTGAATTTCACTTTTGCTCACATATATGCTCAAAATGACTTTAACACTTGAAAAAGTTATTCCATACCTTGATCTTGAAAATTCTTTCCTGGAATTCATAAAGTCTTGTAAACTAACATTTTAAAATAGATAATGTATTTTCAATATCGCAATATAGTTTAGATATAGGTTTTTGCCATCTAGTCTGCAATGACATCATTTTCTTATCAGATTATCATTGGAAAATGATGACTAAATACCCACTCATTAGAAATAAAGCTTCTAATTAAATTCCTTTATCATAGATACTACTCTCAAATCAGTAATTATTAATTAATTTTTTTATATTAATTTCAAAATTTGCTTTGCCAGATTACTGCGCCAATATACAAGTCAGGAAGCTTTTATAAAACTACTTTGAATTTAGTAGTAAAACTTCTGATAAAACTGTTTAAGAAGACTGGTAAATTAATTTCATTTATGTTAAGCCTTGAAAGTATTTTATTTGTCAATTTGCCAAATTTCAAGTTTTTTTGAGTTCATCAGGAAATTAAAAATAAGATCATGTACTATTTGTGCTGATCAATAGTATATTTAGAATTCTATCTGGTGACATATATATATATATATATATATATAACTTATTTTTTATTTTTATTTAACAAGGCAATTAAGTATATTTATAATTTCTCTTATATAAATTATAATAATTGAAACTCGAATCGACACTTCACACTACATGGCAAATATTTTATCACAATTAAAATTGTTTTCACAAATGTAATACATGTTTATATTACCATTATAAAATAAATTCGACGAAACAATTCCTAATTTTATGATATTGATTATAGCATAAACATTATTATTATTAGTTTCACGACTGAACAATGCATAATGATATTATTAAAACTCAGTTATTTAAATCATTTCATTTGGGTTAGACGAAAGAATTGTTAGAATTATTCAGTAATTAAGATGTTTTATATTAAATCTTTTGGCTTGTTTTGCAAATTTATTATTATTATAATTTTTGCTACTTGGAATTGTGATAGCACAGGGATCAGAAAATCTCCAGGATTGGTAAGATAATGGACATATAAAATTTTGGATTGGTTTTTCCAAATTTTTGAGTCACAGTTTCACTATTCGTTAGTGGATAAAATTATTTACAAATTATATAAAATTACACAAAAATGATCGAAGGACTTATTACTAGCATTATACTGGTTTATGAGTATCGCAATCCATTCCTCTCCAAGCTCCATCATCAAACTAACATGGTTCAAAAATCTTTGTTTTAATAATCAAATATATATATTTTTATTCAGTATCCATTACTATTATTAATATTATTTATTAAATTAATTTCAGCTAAATATTACTATTTTATACGAGTCACTATGTCCAGACAGTGTGGACTTTTTTATGGAACAATTACAACCAGCTTGGTCTAGCTTGGCGCCCTATACGAATTTTACATATGTTCCATTTGGAAAAGCATATGTGAGTATCAAAAATTTAATCATAATTTGACAAAACATCAAACATTAATATATTTATATAGATATAGTGTCCATGTGTTTAAAAATCTTCAAGTTTGAACCATAGGTTTCCAAACTATTATGGGTTGTGGACCCCTTGGACCCCATATCAATATTATTTATATTTGCTTAGCTTTATCAAAAATTATGATTAAGTATTTAAAGTAAAAATATTATTATTTTTTTACCCCAATTTTTTTGGGTGGAGTGAATGCCTGGGGTACCATGTGGTGGTGGGCCACTATGGGAATTATTGGTCTAACCCAAAAACAATTGGAATAATTATTTGTAATTTATAAAAAGTCAAGTTCACAGATAATATTTAATTTCCACATATACGAGTATTACTAAGAACAATTACTAATTCATAATAAAAATAATTAATATGGAAAAAATAATTTGTTTACAACGTGTGATCATTTCATAAGATTAGTTACTTTTTAATGAATAAGTCGATGGTTCATTTTTGCTGACAAGTTTCTCTGTCTATTAGAGTATAAAAAATGGAAAAAGGTTCATCTGCCAGCATGGAGCAAACGAATGTGCAGGAAATAAGATGCAATCATGTGTTTTGCATTTACTTCGAGGCCAACCGTTTCGTCAATTCACATTTATCATTTGCCAGATGAATGGAATTTCGCCGGTGGACGGAAGCGCGGCAAGTATAATAGATATAATAATTAAAAATTATAATTTTAATTAAATAATTTATATGAAGATATATTTTTATGATAGTCTGATATGAAATATTTCAATCCACAGTGTTTTAAGAAAGTGAATCTGCACGAATGGAAAGTTAGACAATGTGAAAATTCTGATATTGGCAACTCTTTGCAATTGCTGGCTGAAAATATCACGCACCGGTTTAATCCTGAGTTTATACCAACAATTTTGTTCAATGATGTAAGTTAATAATTATAAACCATTTTTAAGTTTTAATATTTGCGACCTAGAGATCTCATTTAAGAAAGTAGAAGTATCTTCTACCACGCCATATTTGATCCTCCTAAATGGGGATCAAAATTATAACCCAATGGCTAATAGAATGGAACTGTTCTGTATGCCATTTAATGTATATTAATAAAAAAAGTTAATATTAATTTATAGGCACATTTGTAGAATAGATAACATCAGTATTAGAAAATTTCTAATAATAAAAATATATCAAATAGAGATAGGATACGTTGGATTGGCTTCTAAAGAACCTACGGTTTCTAAAAGTTAAGCAATAGCATAAAAACACTTCAAAAGGGATCATAATTGAGGTTTGTCTGTGAATTAGTGTTTAGGGCTATAGGGTTTCAATCAGAGATCTATACCTGCATCGAGCAGCCTGATAACAAGCAGCAGTGACATCAGGTTTCACTTGGAAATATAGATAGAAATACATATGTTTAAAAGTGAAATTTGCCATTACCCTAGATTGCTCCATCTATAATAAATTCATCACTATCACAAAAATTGTTATAATAAACTTTATCATGTAGAGATAGGACAACTGTTTGGGGTCTATAAAACCGAAGTTAGTTAGTCAAGCCAAATCGTCACAAAAGCTTTTATAACTTTAATTCTGATCGCTGTTCAATAGTAATAAAAAATCTGGTTATCAATCTAAATATAAACAAAAGTTATTTGATCAGTGCTCAAATGTATAAATTGAAAACAAAGATTACATTCTCTTGTAACCGTTTTTATATCAACCTCACTGTTCACATGAACTACAAGTCAGTAATGAGATAATTACATTCTGTTTCTCTATGTTTTTGAATAATTAAATTTTTGAGTTTAATTCAAACTAAGACTTTTATATTTTTATTAATTTATTTCTATTTTCCAGTTATATTTCAGGAGCTTCCAAAACATGGCTCTTATGGATTTTAAACATGCTGCTTGTAAATTTTTCCCTCCTGGACACGTAGCTTGCATTTGAATAAAAAAATAAGTTTATTATAGGTGTTAATATTTTTGTAGAAAATATGTAGAATAACTAGTTAGTAATTGGAGTCTAAAGTTAGTTTAATCAAAGTATGAAATATGATTGATGTGCTGAATTAATAAAGTGATTAAAAGATTTAGTACAAGTAACCATTGCCTTATCATCACACTTTATGATAGTTGATGATAAATTTATAGAAAATATATGTAGAATTACTTAGTTATTATAATCATAACATAGTTTGAAATAAAGTATAAAATATGATTGATGTGTTGGATATCAAGTAAGACTTATTACTTATTATTCCATTCCATCATATCAATTTTTTTTAATCGCTTATTCATGGATTTTACGATTTCTTAATCGAAATCTTCGTTTATAATTGATTCACCATGCATACGGATAGCGAATTAATAATTTAACGATTTTACGTGTATTAAAGTGAAGTTCAAATACCAGACAATAATTTATATGGATTCTAGAACCCGATGAATGTTATTTGCTAAAGGTACATTCCTGAGTCATACGTGTAACCTGAGGGGGTTGGAAGAGGCGGGTCAAGCGAGAACTTTACCTTGCGTGCGAGATGGTCAGAAATTCTTCAGAGGAATATTCAGAAACTATCGGAGAGAAATTAATCATAATAATACATATTCACATGTATGTATATATGTAATTTGTTTATTTGCCAACTCTCTCACGCTACTAGTTATCAGGTGAGGTGGTATGCAATATTTTCTAAACAAACCTTATCGATAAGAAATTCATGAAACAATTGTAATGCATATATACATACACTTGGTCTCTAAAGCCTTAATGTTTAAAAATACATGTAGTTATCTATTTATATTTTGGAATCCCAAACAATAACATAAGACTGTTGATTCAATTTACAAGATGAATTGTAATGATTGTAATTGGTGCTATATAGGTGTCAGTTTCTAATATTTCCCTAAAAGATAAAATTAACATATTGATAATTCAAACAATCAAATCAAAATATCAAATTAAAATTATGTTCTCTGAATATATATAAAAAATTATATATATACTAGATGACCCGACAGACGTTGTTCTGTACTCATGTTTACAATTCAGAAGTTTAATTATTTTTTTATTAACCTATACTGATATTTACCAATTAGTTAAAAATTATTATGTTTTTTTACACTATACCCATATGGATCTTAAGTGCTTTAAATAAAATGATGAGTATTTGCTTTTTTGATAAACATTATAAAACATTTATTTCTTATAATTAGTTTTTTTATCGATATCCGTCGTTGATTTGAAAAAATGAAATTAAATTACTCCACTGAGAGGGATGTCATCCCCCCGGGAAATGGCAAAGGAGCTAAATTATTTTAACTTTTGAACTTGAGAGTAATATAAACCTAATTTCAAAATTTTATATGAATTGGAGCACAGTAAAAAAATCAGACCCAAAACGCTACATTGACTAGAGTAAATATTCCGTATCCGATGGCAAAAATATGAAAATATTAACGTTTGTATGTGAAAAATAAAAAGGGCTGTTTATCGGGTTTTTCCGGAAATTATTCGATTTTTTCTCGCAGTAAGAACCATCCTTGAACTTCAACGAACATTTTAAAAAAACATTTGGCCAAATTGGTCCAAGCCTTGTTGAGTTACCAACACATTTTGCGATTCATTTTTATATCATAGATATATAAATGAATATATATATATATATATATATATATATAAATATAAAATATTATATATATATATATATATATATATATAATATAATTTTTACTATCTTTCATATCTTTTATATCTTTTGTACTATAATTTCAAAGATGCAATTCAAAGTGATTTATCATTGCGTGTATACATTTTCAGTAAATCTATAACTAGCAGCAAAAGGCGGAAAGTAAAGCCGTTAGTCTTACAAATAATCATACACCGATGATTATTTTCAAAGATTTAAGTACAGTGTAGCAATATAATACAACTCATCATTTGCAAATTATTATCATATTTAGTAATAAAAAATGCTTCTCATCGTAGGTTAAATAATGTAACAGTTAACGAATGATTTTTAGGATTAATACAGATTGGAAAATAACCGGAACAGATGGTCTTGAAAATTCTGTTTAAATAAAAATAAAAATAAGATTTACTGATACCACAACAACCCTTAAGGATCAATTTTTTTTTTGAATCTTTTGATATGCCCTACGCTAGCACATCTAAATTTGATATATTTGAACTTTTAAGAATTTATTAAAAAAAAAGATTTGTTTATCTCATTTGATGCAGCAGGAAAGAGCTATTTTCACTTGAATACATATTTTGGTTCAATATTTTCAAATAAAAATGCTGTTGCTTGGTACAGAAATATTCATTGTATATTATGAATCCATCCATTTTGTTCAATCATGTATCTATTACAAAATGCATTCTAAATAATTTATTCGACGAGGTTTAGTCACCGGATGGTTAACGAACTGGTCTAGGAATGAATTTCCTGCAGCAACTCCATTACTCGTGACTTGCATAAGAATAACTTCCGATTGGAAGTAATCTTAAAAATCACCGTCATCAAATAATACATTCTTTGGAGTATAAAAAAGTATTTATTATATAAAATACATAGTATTAATACTATAAATAATAATTAAAATGATGCTTGGTGGCAAGTTATTCTAAAAACAAGTCTCTTTCGTCTCATTTACAAATAGTGTGGTTTTCTTAGGTTGTTTTTGTTGCGGTGGTGTTTGCACAAAGCGCAGGATATGAAGAGCGCAAAAAATGGCATGCTGCTCCTCTGAAGTCAATTTGTGACCTATCTTGCAAATCTTGATTAAAAACCTGAAAAAAATAATATGAAGATACTTAGAAGCAAACAGAATATTTACTCGGTGTAGTGAATTATCATCATCCTCCTTTATTCAAATATTTAGCTATGCTTTTCAGAATTGATTGGTATTGAAAAATACAATTAGTTTATTATTCCAAAAAGCAGAGTGAAATCATACTCAAATATGATATCCCTATGATTATCATATTTTATTAAAATATTTGGCAATGGTTTTCAAAATTGACTGGTAGGGCATCAAATATTTTATTAATTGCTAAAGCAACACCAATCATACATAAAAGAAAAAAATCATACATAAAACTAAAATTCTGATCATTATCATCCTACATTAAAATATTTAGCGACAGTTTTAAAGATTTATTTTTGAGACCTCATATATTTTATTATTTTCAAAAGCAGAGTAAAATCATATAAGAAATGTTAAATGAGCCTAGACAATGGCTCGAACAAATTAGTGAATTTAAAATAAAACAATCATGAAAGTTCTGGATAATGTTTAGAATTTTGTCTTGAAAAAGGTTTAGAATTTTGTATTGGAAAGGGTTTAGAATTTTGTCTTGGAAAGGGTTTAGAATTTTGTCTTGGAAAGAGTTTAGAATTTTGTCTTGGAAAGGGTTTAGAATTTTGTCTTAGAATTGATTCATATTTTTATTGTTTTAAATGCCTCGTGAATCTGAATCATTTTCATAGTATTTTAAATTAATTTTTCTAGCTAAGAATGATTACTTAAGGTCTCCTTTTTTAAATTTAATAAAATATTTGTATAAACTTTATACCAAAATTCTTAAAATTTATGTAAGTAAGTTTGCTACATATTATATAGTAAAGTAAGCAAAAATTTGGTGCACTAATGGACTTATATAAATTTTAAGTATTTTGGAAACACCAATATGCATACTATGAGGTATGACTAAACCATTATTATTCCACCAGATATTCCACCATTCCATATAATACGTAATTGATTTACATAATTATTAAATTTTTTTAAACATATCAATTTGAATTTTATTTTATATACAATTTTTAAGAAATTTAAAACACATTAATATGTAATTTTATTTTTTGGTACCTCAAGTACGACAAACCGCTCTTAGAAAATCCATTTTTCCACGGAATCTTGTTTATTTTAAATAGTTATTAATTTAGTGACGATTATATAACGTTTTATACTGAAAATTGTTCAAAATTATATTAATTTTCTTTAAAGTTTAGTACCTTTTGATATTCATTATCGAACTCCAGTTATAGCGACATTTCTAATAAGTAAAAGGTCAAAATCAATTTCACTCTACAATATTGTTGCAGAAGATCATTAAAATATTCTATGATTGATTAATAACTATCATACAGTTAGATTTGTCCTGAAATTTCTAATTTTACACGAACAAAATTTTTTTTATTTTAAGGAGTATTCATAGAAAAATTATGTGCAGACACATATCACCTATTATACACAGCCAATTTATATGTACATTATATTGTAAATATTTCTCTTAGGCATAATTTTGAAATAAAGTTAAACGATTTCAAGAAATTTGTGCTAAATTCCCAAATTTTAAGAAAAGTTGAAAAATTATGAAAAAATGCAGACACTCAGCAGATACTCAGTCTATTGCCCATAAGCATTCCCTCTACAGTGCCCCATGTGCTGCAATTAGTCTTATTAAAACCGAATTATCGCCATCACAACAAACCCTTGATGCAAATATTTTATTTTATAAAGAAGATTGATTGATATTTCATTACATCAATTAAATTCGCATTATGTATCACTCACCCCGTTGAAAACGATTGTGGGAATGAACTGCGGCCAGATTGCGTTCGTCTCTCTTTCGGCGCGCAATTGCAACAATCTTCCGACGTCGGACTTCATGCAACGATCGACCAGATTCCAGTCGATTCCGACCATCCTAGTACACTGGAAAAAAGGAAACATAGAAATTAAGATCATAATATAAAGTTATTTTAATGGAAAACTAGCTGTAAGTGGAATTCTGTCTTAAGGCAATTAAGGCATCGTGCCTTAAGGCAAATTGCTGGAACTTCCCGTACCAAAAATTATTTTTTTAAAAACGATTAGCATTTTTGAAAAAAATTTACTTCAAAAAAATAAGATTTTTGACAAACAATTAGACAAAAAATT